GAGAGACGGGAGAGACACAGGGAAAGGGGGAGAGACACAGGCAAAGGGGATAGGGAGGGAGAGGGGAGAGACACAGGGAAAGGGGGGAGGGAGGGAGAGGGGAGAGACACAGGGAAAGGAGGGAGGGAGGAGGGGGAGGTGGGAGACACAGGGAAAGTGGGAAGGGAGAGATGATGAGGAGAGGGAGAGAGAACAGGAAAGGGGAGAGACACAGGGAAAGGGGGAGGAAGAGATGGGGGAGAGGGAGAGACACAGGAAAGGGGAGAGATGGGTTGGAGGGAGAGAGATGGGGAGAGACACAGGGAAAGGGGGGAGAGATGGGTTGGAGGGAGAGACAGGGAAAGGGGGAGGGAGAGAGATGGGGAGGAGGGAGAGACACAGGGAAAGGGGGGAGGGAGAGAGATGGGGAGGAGGGAGAGACACAGGGAAAGGGGGTGAAAGAGGCAGAGGAGGAAGAGAGAGACAAAGAGGGAGAAATGAGAGAGACACACAAGGGGAGGGGAAGAAAGAGGCAGAGGGGGAAGGAGAGGGGAGACATTGACACATACACACACTGCCCACACACACCATACACATTCACACACTGCCCACACACACACACACACACACACCATACACATTCACACACTGCCCCCACACACATACACCATACACATTCACACACTGCCCCCACACACACACACACCATACACATTCACACACTGCCCCCCACACACTGAACCTTTCACACACATTGCACCCCTCACACATTGCACCACTGCTCCTATACCCTACTACAGCCCCATATCCCAGCAGACTCCAGGTAAGTTGTCAAACTGTTCTTAAACGGTTTGACTACTTACTCTGGGAGGGGGTGCCGACACTCCTGGCACCATAACCACTACACAGAGGAGTAGTGGTTATTGTGCATGGAATATTTCTTTAAATAATCTACAAGTGCCCCTCCCGGGCTCAGGCTCTGGATCCGTCACTGGTATATGACATGTATATTAATGTGTATATTTGTTATATATATGTATGCATAATACACAGAGAAATTTCATTAATATGTACCATATGTAATGAGCAGATATTGGTTCAATCTTGTTGCTAGGTGCATACTCAAGCACAATAACATATTTAAAGTGAAGAGCACACCCACAGGACTTCAAAATAAACATTTTTTACAGTTGTGCCCTACATACATTCACCATTTCAGTCCCATTAACAAGCTTTCCTTAATATGTCAAGGTAGTTGGACTGAAACATTGATTACATGCAAAGGCACATCTGCTTAAAATAAATTTGCACTTTTGTTTATTTTGAAGCCTATGAGTGTGCTTTTTACGTTGAAGTACTTTTTAATTTTAAGTTATCTGTTCTAACTCTGTATCTGCACACTATGCTGGCGCGACGCATTATGGGGCTGGTAAATATTTTTTTTCCAGGGCTGCTTTTAATTCCCAGTCCGGCCCTGATCACAAGACAAGTCCTGATCAACTGGCTGGCTCACAGGATATTGGTGACTTATCCAGTGGCACATACAGATATTAATATTTTCTTGCAGTCCTAACCTTCATGAGTCAAAATGACAGGATCTAAAATAATGTCATATAATGTCCTTTATTATTCACACTTGTAGGACTGCAGATGGGCACTAAATGCTGTTTGTCATTCAGGAACAAATATTCCTTCCAAACCCAACACTGGACCCTATTGATGATGTCCTGCTTCTGCAACAAAAACTTGGACACTTGAGATGGAACTTGATCATAGAGATATGTTGTTAAGAATTCAATTTAAAAAAAAAAAAGACTATTAGGCATAAAGTGTTTCTTTATGTAAATACTTAATGACACCTAATGACTTAATGCCAATTCACTATGAGAAAAACTAGCACGGTGACTGAAATAGAAAAATATGCAATAGCGGAAGAGGCATAATAAAGAAAACTGTGTGCAATGAAAAAGGATGAAAAGGGCAGGGTTAAACATATGTAAATGGTAAATGAAGGTGGGTAAGGAAATATTAATAGAGTGGCATCAAAATAATACAGGAGCGGAATTACATAGACACCAAAAAAGAAAAAGAAAAGAAAAGTGGTGAACAGAAAACTGAAGACAATTATGTATTATTCAGCCATGTGAACATTGTCACCTAATGCTCTGTGATTTGTGAGCTACTATAGTCATAGTGAATAACACATTTTTTTTTAAAACCAAGCATAAATTAAATATATTTTTTGCATGAATATATTATTGTATGTAAAAGGAATACTCAATTATAATGCTTGTAGAAGGAGGGGATGAGACACATGGAGGGACTTGTAGAGCTAATTATAAATGCTTGTAGAGCTACCTCTTGCTTCTGTTTGCAAAAAGAAATAGATGCTGAAAGCAGGAGAAATACTATAGTATTGGCATACATGTTAGATTTGTAAGTTCTATAATTTAATTAAAGTGGCTCTGTCACCAAAAGTAAACCATCTAATCTGTTCCCCACAGCTCTGTGTGCCATAAAATAAATTTAAAAGAAAAGCTCTTTCACTCACCTCTTTCCAGCATCAAATCACACTCATCTCTGTTAGCCTCTCTCTTTCCTGCTACATTATGGAGAATGTATGGCCGACTCTGGTGATGGCCCAATCCAAAGCTCATGCGCATGCACAGTGATTGCTGTGTATGGACTTAAATTTCCTCACAGAAAAGCATTGGCTGCCACGTTACATGACTGAGTTTTACTCGGTCAGTGCAGCAGAAGCACTTCTACTAGCTGTCAGCATGTCAGCCACTAGTAACATGTTTAACCCTTCAAGTTAAGTATTATCCTTTTTGCAAAACACTAGCACTGTGCCCAGACCACTTCATTGAGTAGCACTTTTAAAAGTGCCTATTTAAATGTGAAATTGGTACCTTTAATTCAATTATGAAGGGAATAGTTTTCAAAGGCTGCATACAGAAAATCTGTAGTTTTCACTGGCTTTTTTTTATAGATAGACCCGATATAAAAATGCATTAACAAATGCGTGCTTTTTATTGGGGGGAGTATCTACAAAGTATTGATTTTATTTGTATTTATTTTTTTCCCTGTGGAGTGCTCCTTTAAAGGGACACTATAGTCACCCAGACCACTTCGGCTCAATTAAGTGGTCTGGGTGCCAGGTCCCTCAGTTTTTAACCCTTCAGATGCAAACATAGCAGTTTCAGGGTTAAGACAGCCTTTAGTGGCTGTCTTCCGGCAGCCACTAGAGGCGCATCTGCGATGCTGGAGGCATATTATGCCTCTATCACACAGAGCGTCCATAGGAAAGCATTAAGAAATGCTTTCCTATGGATACTTTGAATGGGCGCGGGAGCTGACGTCGGCGGGGGAGGAGAGGTGCCCGGCGCTGGAATAAGGTAAGTGGCTGAAGGGGTTTTAACCCCTTCAGTGCCATGGGAGGGGGACCTTGAGGGTGGGGGCACTCTCAGGGCACTATAGTGTCAGGAAAACCACTTTGTTTTCCTGATACTACAGTGATCCTTTAAGGGATATTTACATTTGTTAAGTGTTGTTTCTCTTTTAAAGGATTTTGCATCAGTATCGCTTATACTTGGCAAATAAATAAGCCTTTTTTCACGGATTCAAAATGCCCTGTTCATGCAATTTTGTGGATTAGGATAGAGTGTAATATTTTGTTTACAGTTAGGATAATGGCTTGGGATTTTACTGCTACTAATAAATTGTTGGTGTGCTTATTTCCTGACTCCAAATTTATATTGATTATATTGTTGACATAGCATTCATACTACCAAGAGTCTCATTAAGTTATTTCTTATTAAATGCTTCTCTTGAAGGGAAGATGCAAGAACAATTAACATTGTTCTATTCATTTACACATGCTAATTGCATTTATTTTTTGTCTTTTCAAATTAAAAATTAGTAAAAGTCATCAGAATTGATATGAATTTTATTGTTAACAGGATTGTTAATTCTAAAATGAATACAACCAGGCAGATACTGCATGTTGCAACTCACTTTCATTGGCTTGGACTCACTTTCAGCTCACAGCTCAGTAAATTACTTTCTTTTTATCTAAATATATATGTAAAATGGCGAGAGACAGACACACAAAAAGAGATGAAAAATACTTAAAGTATTAAGTGACAGATTAAATAGAATACAGTTTACTTGCATGTTTTAGCAGTTCTGAGGAATCAGAACTGGTGGACTGTGTGCACTTACTGCATGTAGTCATCCCACAGTCAGGCATGGCTATAGGGAGTGTGTTTCTCCACAAGGTCTAGAGCACAGGAGTTTTGTTTGCCGGATATGTGTACTTAGAAGGCTGTATTTTTATCCCTGGTTTAAAGATCCTATTACAAAGTAGACTGTCTCCCTCATTTAGCAACATCATGGCAGGTTAGTGTTTATGCTAAATAAGCAGATTATTGTGGCATGCACACAGGTTTTTCAAGACCATACTCTGATGACAGCACAATGATCTTCCTATGACAGTAAACAACATATTACAATTTTTTTTTTACAATTATTGCAAAAAAACTTTCATTGAGGTTAAATCATTAACTTTTTGCTATTTCATGACGAAAAAGTCATGATTTTATGAAAGACACGGAGGTGAGTATTGCTTAACCCTTTCTTTACTGTCCACCAATAGCAGCAAAGAATGCAAACAGTAAGAAACAAATGGTTACCATAGCGATAAGCCACTCCCATACCAAGACCCAGTATAATAGTCAGCACCTCCCCACGTATTTCCTCTTTCTTTGGAGATGCGACACAATAACAACATTAAACAGGAACCGATGAATCAGTCTAACAACAGCAGAACAACCAACCTGAAATCCAGCCGGACTCCAACCAGGAACCATAAATGAACTGGGACCAATCCATCATAGAACAGAATCGCCAACAGTGAG